TTTTTTTTAAAAGAAGAAGAAGAAAAAGTTAATGCCTTTTCTGGAATCAAGATGGTCTCTCTTTATGCATATAGAATAAATGTTCAGAATAACTACATGCTTACTTTTTTATGATTGAGATTTTTGTTTTATTTTGTCATGATTGTTGGTTTTTTAGGGTATGTTTTTCTTTATATGAAATACAACATAGGCAAACCTATAGAGACAGTAACTGGATTCACAGTTTCTTAGGGTCATGGTAGGGGAAGTTGTGGGGAAATGGGGAGCTAATAATAAGGAATACAAGAATGAAGAAAATGTTCTAAAATGGACTATGGTGATGTTTACACAACTGTTTTTAATGTGTTTAAACCACTGAATTGTATAATAAGTGATTTCTATGTCATTAAAACTATTAAAATTGAAAAAATAGAAGAAATAACTGGGAGACAAAAGACACTTATAGAGGCATAAATTTAGGTATGCACACATGCAAACACATTAATATTTAACACTAGGGATATAAGTTTATGTACATATATTTCAGTGTTAAGCATTAATGTAGCAGATGGGCATTGGGTCTCTACTCAAGTACTCCCTCAATGCAAGAACAGTTTGTTCTAATTAACTGTCATTCTGTGATGCTCACCTTCCTGACATGATCACTGAAGTCAAATGGGTACATAAGCAAATGTGGTGAAGTAAGCTGATGGTGCCCAGATATTAAAAGATATAGCATCTTGGGTCTTAAAGGCTTGAACTAAATAAGCGGCCATCTAGCAGAGAAGCAAGAAAGCCCACATGGAAGAAGTACACCAGCTTGTATGATCACGAGGTGTTGACAGGATAAAGTATTAGGAATCAGAAGACCCGAAACAAACAAATATATCAATACAAATGAGGGAGATTGGGGTGGGGACCCGAAGCCCATTTGTAGATATTTGGACATTCCCACACAGAATAGTCACAAGGAGAGAACAAGACAGCCAGGGTACAGCACAACACCAGTGAAACACACAACATTCCTCTAGTTCTTTAATGCTTCCTCCTGCCCTCTGTCATGACCCCAGTTCTACTTTACAAATCCAGCTAGACTGGAGCACATGCACTGGTACAGATAAGAGCTCTCAACACATGGATTCCAGGACAGATAAAACCCTCAGGAACAGCAATGGGAGGAGCGATACCATGAAGGTAGGGGGACGGTGTGGGGAGAAGGGGGAGAAATGGATTACCGACTACAATGACCCACAGTCACCTCCCCACACCCCAGGGGGATGAAGAACAATAACGTGGATGAAGGGAGACAGTGGACAGTGTAATGTGTGAAAATAATAATAATTTATAATTTATTAGGGGTAAATAGGGTAGGAGGGTGGGGGAGGGAGGGAAAAAAAGAGGAGCTGATACTAAGTACTCAAGCAGAAAGAAAATATTTTGAAAATGATGAAGGCAACATATGTACAAAAGTGCTTAATACAATTGATGTATGCATTGTTATAAGAGCTGTAAGAGCCCCCAGTGAAATGATTTATTTATATATATATATATATATACATATATATATATATGAAATATAGTTTAAAGGAAAACAAAGTGAAACCAAGACTAAGAAGGGCGTTAACCTATATGTACACCTCTTTTTATATTGTACATAAGCTAATGGCTCTATATATCATCTTTAAAAAAATTATAGCAGAACTAAAGGGAACCAATTTTGTTTAACACTCGGTTGGCATTCCTTCCAATGGGCCAATCAGAGATTTATAGACTAGTGGAAAAATAACACATGTGGTCCATATGGACTCAATTAAACTGGAACTGGAAACCCTGTTAGATATCCGTCCTTCCCAAGGACTTCAGCTGTGCTGAGAAAGCCTAGTACCCACAGACCTGTTTGGAGTCTGACGTCCGCAGGTTCAGGCTGGTGGTGGAAATGGTGAGAGAGATACTCATCCCTGCAAACTGGAGATTGCTCTTTCCCAAGACGCTGGACAACATTTTGCTTGGAGGCTGTAAAATCAAGCAGCATGATTTTACCTTTTTACCTGGAAGCCACACAGTCCAGGAATGCCTACATTGTTCATGATAGGGTAGTGATGCTGTTTACGAGGCAACTGAACCCCCAAACCTTGAGCTTTTTCTCCTTGGTGGACTCTGAAATGTAAATATGCTAATGAATTTAGCTGAGAGTTTGACATCCAATACTAAGATGTAAATTATAATATGTGCAATAGGAAAATAGGATTCAGTTGATATGTAAACAGTGAATGAGGACTCTTGCCCTAGGAAGCCTCTGCCCATGTCTGGGACTCTCCCGACCTGTCTTCTCTTCACTGAGGAGCGTTCCATAAGCCTTGAGCTTTGCAGACTCAGAAGCCTGACTTTTCGTTACACCAAGAGTCAAACCATTTCTCAGGGACAGACTGAAATGAACTAGCTCATTGGGCTTGTTAGCAATTATAGAACATTCTTTGCTGAATGTTCACAGCATCCACCCCAAACCAGAGCACATATGGGCGGTTCAATGAGAACCAGTGGACCCTGCTCGCCAACAAGGACACATCGACACGATCTAACTTAACTGATTGGTACATCACTCTGCCAGCAATGTCCTTGGCACGAGGATTGATAGACTCACACTCTAGCAGGGCACCTGCTCCCTGGTATCTGGATTGGTGAATGGGCACTGCCAACACTTGTCTCTGTGCATGGCCTTCCAATCCTTTATTTTTTGGATCAGAACACTCTCTACTTTGATATGCTAATAACACTCTCTACTTTGATATGCATAATAATTTACCATGCTTTCTTAACCAGGTCTGCGCTGATTTTGAATCACCTAGGGAGCCATTTAAAAATATAGCTATCTGGTATCAATCTGAAGTTTTATGAGCTATGTCTGGAGTGCCATCCAGAAATCTACATTGTTTCCTTTGCTATTAAATTTATCAATTCACATTTCACTATGAAAGCCATGAGGTTACCCCCAAACTGTGCAGGTCAGGGTTGTTGCTGGTCTCTCTGCGCTCTCAGATACCTCCTGTCCTCTATTCTAGATTCTGGAACCTTGCTGGGTTTCTGATAATCTTCAAGGGTTGATCAAAAGACAGACTAACCTGTCTGAACTTCACTCAACGTTCTCTGCCTGATGCCCAGTTGCTCTGTGGGCTTCTAAGTATCCACAGCTATAAAGGCAGAACCAAATTAGATAACTGGCTATAGCCATAGAGGACAAATAACCTGCTCACAGGATCTGAAATTAAGAGTGCTCCACCTGATAATAGATTCACGGGTACTCTGAATTTCTGTGGCTTTCTTCAAATAGGAGTTTTGAGTTGGGGTATTTAGTTATATACTCACTAGATACTTAAACTGAAGTGTTTTTCTATGTTATCTGGTCAGTCTGATTTTGTTGTTGTTGTTTTCTGATCCAAGCTTTTTGGGAATGAAAAGGTCTAGCACAGCGGTTAAACACACAACTTTGGGCCTGGGCCTGTTGAGTTACACTTCGGTACATCAGTTTTTATCATCTGTAAAATGAGGATATCTAGCAGTGTGGTTCTATAACTGCTTGTACCAGCTCATGGAAGTCAATTATTAAATCTTTAGGAAGTTTGTGAATGGGTTCTTAAAAAATGATTTATTATGCATTATTATCTCAAGACATCTAAAAAGTTTAGAAGCTATAAAATGGCAAATATTGTCCATAATAAGCACATGCATTTAAAAAGATAGGAATACACTAATTTTAGTGGAAACACCTTGGTTATATTTTAATAGTTATAGATATGACAAGTCTTTTAGAAGCATTATACTTAGTGTACTCTTGCTTTATGTTTCATTTTGAGTTGAGCTTTAAGGAAATGAAATATTTTATTTGTAACTCCGCCAATATCTTTATCTAGAAGCCTATTACCATTTTTGTCTTTTATAAAATTTTCTCCCCCCACATAAAGATTTTTTTGTTTGTTTGTTTCTTTTCCTGATTGAATCAGAATACAAATTGTATTCTTGCTTGTCAAAATACTCATGGCTTTGGGACTTTGAGCTGGTAAGTATTCATGATGTGGGAAAAAACACATGAATCTATACTGTGTGACTTCAACCACAACTTCAAATACAACCTAAAATTGTATGCTCAGTTATTTATATACACACATGGGATGTAGAAAGACATTGAAAACTGTAGTTATCCAATCATCAAAATGATTTTGGATGCCTTTTGTATTCTTTGCTTTTCTATAATGAACAAAAAAAGCTTGAAGGAAAAAAAGTTATTTTAAAAACTCACATGGAGGCCCCATTGCCTATAGAATAAAGCTGGTTTGTTGACCAAAAAAAAAAAAAAAGTTGTGTTCACATAAATTTTTATAGCTGTGAGGGGGGAAACAAATTGAGGCTACGTTGGCTTCCTAGCGCTATTGACAAATTAAATAAATCATATAAGATACAGGTAGCAAATAAATTATTTTACTATATTGTGCTTTCATTTTCATGTCATATCTATTATATGCATGTGGCACCATATGACATAAGGATCTGCCTAACTCTGTTTTCAAGGCATGACGTTGATCACTTGAAACCCATCATGATGATAAGCTTTACACTAGAGAAATTGGCAAATACTACACATCGGTGCAAAAGCCCTGGGCTGCTAATTGGAGGGTCAGTAGTTCCAACCCACCAGTCGCTCCACTGGAGAAAGATAAGCTGTTTACTCCCATAAAGAGTTATAGTCGCAGAAACCCACAGGGCAGCTCTACTCTAGCCTGCAGGGCTGCCGGGGTCAGACTTGAGGGCAGTGAGTTGATTGGAGTTGACAAATCAGTGCTTTTCACTACCACCTCTCCATCTTAACGGTTGTTGTTTTAAAGTTTACAGCACACCACTGAGGGTTTCTATGACAAAGAGCTGCTGAAATGGAATGAATTAATGTGCAAGTACCTAAAAGAATGCCTGACAGGGTTAAAGTATTTGTTAATCACCATCTTTAAGGTTGAAAGCCACATTGAGATGCTAGGGTGTCTTCTGGGCTGTGACCATTTATCACTTCACTACTGTGTGGGAAAGAGGAAACACAGCATTCTTTTGTTTTCAAAAGTCCCAATAACCTGGCCATAGAAACAGGACATGGATAATTTGATATTGATGAGAAATACTGGATGGGTGGCGAGTTGAGGGAGAAGTTGAGCAGAGGTAAAAGAGGAAGCACAACACAGAGCAGGGAGGGAATTACCTTCCTTTTCTTGACTCCTTTGGCACCAGGGACAACTTCACAAACACGGCTGATGGCTTCCCTGATAAGAAAAGAGGAATGATCCATGTTATTACATGTCCATCGAGATTATGCAACCCAGAGAGACGACATTTGCACATTCCCCCAAGACAATAAGTGTCCACTTAGAGTTGTTTGGGTTTTTTTTTTTTCAGTGTAGAAAATAGACCTGCCAATTCAAAACTAAATTGAACACCGACAGGTCATGTTAAAAACTCTAAATTGCACTATTTCAGGGTTTTGTTTTATTTTTTAGCTATGGTGTAAAAGGATCCCTGGTGGAGTAGTGGATATTTGGGGGCTGCTAACTTCAAGTCAGCAGTTTGAAACCACCAGTCGCTCAGCAAGAGAAAGATAGGCAGTTCTATTTCCTTTAGGAATTGTAACCTTGAAAATTCACAGGGGCCATTTCTACCATCCTATAGGGTCACTAAAATCAGTAGCCTTCCAATTTAACCACCAAGTTCTATTGACCAAGATCCCTAAAAAGTACATTGCGAGATGCCATCAAGTCAGCTCTGACTTAAAGCGACAACAGAATGTATGTACAAGAGAAGAAAACCCTGCCTGGTCCTGCATCACCCTCACAAGTTTTCTTATGTGGTAGCCACTGTTATGCCCAGGGCCTTTCTTTTCTTTCTTTCTTTCGATGCCCCCCAACTTTGGCAAAGATGGTGTCCTTCTCCAGGGACTGTTCTGTCCTGATAACATGTCCAAAGTACATGAGCCAAAGTATTGCCATCCTTGCCTCTAAGGAGCATGCTGACGGTACATCCAAGCAGATGTTTGTTTTTCTCACAGTTCATGGTTCTTTCAGTATTCTTCTCCAGGACAATCATTCAAACACATCAATACTTCTTCAGTTTGCTTTAGTCAATATCCAACTTTCACATGAATATGAGGCAATTGAAAATACCAGGGTTTGCTATTTTCATGGAATTATGGTGTAGTCGTTGGTTGTGTGGGCAGCTAGGTTGTGTACGGGTAGTTGGCTATTTAGAGTTATAGGAGAGAGGTCTCATGGGAGCCAGAAATCATACAGTGGGGAAATGAGGATTACAGAGGTAACTGGGGAAAGGAGTGGGGTGGTGGGGGGAGAGAGAGAATGAGGTATGAGTAATAGTAGTGATGTTATGGGCTCCCGCTGGATAGACCAAGGGAGGGGGAAGGAGCTTTCTCCTCTCGTTAACAGTTACAGTCTCAGAAACCCACAGGGAGGCACTATGAGTCAGCATTGACTCAATAGCAATGAGTCTGTTTGGGGATTTTTGGATAGACCAAAGGGATTGGAAAATTATATAAAAGCACATTTTAAGAGGGATAATAGGAATTAATAGCTAACATGGAAGTATATTTTACTAGGGGAGGGACTGCAAAACTGTAGGAGATAGTGGGTGGAGCAGGAGAGTGTAAGCAGATGATCAACACAAGGGAAGAAGATTATGTACAAATATTTAGAAGAATATGTAGACTTGCAGCAAGGAATAGAAAGAAAGAAAAGAGGCAATGAAGGAAAGAGTGAAAGAGGAGACAGACCTGAGGGGAAAGAAGGGGAAACATAGACGGTGGCTTGAGTTGGGTGTGGTTACGGAGTTCTGTTCCTGTGGCAGCGTGAACGTGAGTGGCTATGTGCCCTTAGGTGCCCATAGGAAAACTCAGAGAGATGAACAAAGTGGCAAAATAATTGCTTGGGCTGTGAGGGAGACTGTGCCAGCTTGCCTTAGCAGACTACTCTTCATTCAAGGCTCCTGGAGGCTGGTGAGCCGAGGGACTTGGCTAGGTGGGCTGTGATGGGGTTTGGGACGGACGTTCTCTTTCCAGGGTAGAGTGTGCTGTGGTTGCTGGCAGTGCTGGAGGGGGTGGTCCTACTGATCTTCGACTTGAACGAGAGGAATCTGGTCTTAGTGGGTGTGATTTGTCTGTCTCTGCCTCAGAGGTGCACGTAGCCACAGGGACATATGCATGGGGAGGGGTGCCAAAGAAAAAGAGGTGAAGAAAAACTGAGAGAAATTAGCAACATGGAAAAAGTGTTGGGCTGAGAGGAAGTTTGTGCCAGGCTGCCTACCCAGCCCATCCTACACACCGAGGTCCCAGGGCCTGTGAGGTGAGGGGCTTGGCTGGGTGTGTTGGAATGGGGTGTGGGACAAATCTACTCCTACGGGGGAGGGGGAGCGGAACTCTCCAAAGTGGCTCGTGCAACCATTCAATGGTGGAGGGGAGTCAGGAAAACTCCAAGTTCCCCCAAAAGAAACAATAACTTGGTGCATTTAACGTTCAAGTCTACCCTTTGGCTTCAAGAAGCAAGGACTGTCTTCTGGTGGGACTTTTCCAGAATTGGCTTAGGTTTTCTTCTGGTGCTTGCTATCCAGTGACTGTTCTTCAGGTCTGCACGAACGGTTTTCAAGGATGCGTTATTCAAGGTCACCTTCTATTTCCAGCATGGAAATTGAGGTCTAGTAGAGAGGGCTCAGGAGCCCTGGTGGTTGTATTTATTATGCGTTTTGCTGCAATCCTCAAGATCAGCAGTTCAAAATCACCAAGCACTCCATTGAAAAGTGACAAGACTTCTACTCCTGAGAGGAGTTACATTCTCAGAAACCCACAGGGGAAGTTCTAACATGCTCTATTGGGTAGTCATGAGTGGGCCTCAACTCAATCAGAGTGAGTTTGATTTGGGTTTGGAGAGAGGGTCCTGGAAAGTCTGCATTTAAACTCAGCTCTGAGTTCTGGTATGCAAAATTTGACAAGGCTTCCAAATTGTTCTGTCTTTATGGAGAATTATTCCTCTGCTGAGTCCAAATCTAATTTTAAATATAACTGGGCTCATTTTCCCTCCTCACTGATTAAGCATACTGCATATTTTTTGGTGAGTAGTATTGATATAATATGTTCACTTAACAGTAATTATTTAGTTAGCTGGATTTCTATTATTTACAGTTTGATATCCCTGATTTTTAGCAATAGAAATGGCTTCTTAACATTTTATTCAAAACATCATCTCAGTAAGGCATATCATGACTTCAGACCTCAGCTAATAAGAAAATGGAATATTTGGCCAAAGTTATGGTCCTCTGAAAGTAAACAAAGCCGGCCCTGCTTTTACCCTATAATTTCATCACCTTTTCCTACTCAGTCTAAATTTGTCATCATTTGAGCTAATACCTCTCATTATAGTAGGTATTTAATTATCACTGTCCCCCACCCCCCGCCATGGGAATGTAGAATTTTATAGAACTGAATCATTTTCAATTATGAAGTTTCATCTTTCTCCTTAATTGTCTGTCTCATTGCTGTCTCATTCCATTGCCTCAGAACACATACACACACACACACACACACACACACACACACACACTTTAAAACAATCATTTTATCGGGGGCTCTTACAGCTCTTATCACACTCCATAAATCCATCTATTGTGTCAAGCATTTTTGTACATATGTTGCCATCATAATTTTCAAAACATTTTCTACTTGAGCTCTTGGTATCAGCTCCTTATTTTTCCTCTCCTTCCCCCACCCTCCCTCATGAGCCCTTGATAATTTATTAAAAATTTTTCATGTCTTACACCAATTGCTGTCTCCCTTCACTCACTTTTCTGTTGTTTGGCCCCCTGGGAGGGGGTTATAGGTAGATCACTGTGATTGGTTCCCCCTTTCTCCCCCAACCTTTCCCCTAGTATGGAGCCTGGTAGTGTAATGGTTGCAAGTTGGGCTGCGATGAGCATGACTGGTGGCTCAAAAACACCAGAAGCTCCGCTGGAGAAAGACTGGACTTTCTATTCCTGTGAACAGTTCCAGTCTTTGAAATCCACAGGGGGTCGCTTTGAGTCAGCATTGATTTGATGGCAGTGACTGTGTGAGTGAGTGGAGGTGTAATGGTTACTTATTGGGCTGCTAATTGCAAGGCCAGCAGTTTGAAACCACCAGCTAGCTCCCTGCCAGAAAGGTGAAGCTTTCTATGTCCCCACAGAGTTATAGTCTCTGAAACTCACAGGGGCAGCTCTACCCTGCCCCCTACGTTACTATGAGTCAGCATCGACTCTATGCAGAGAGGTTTTGGGTGATATTAGTAGAGGGAAAAGCTACTCAGTAAGTAACATTTGATGCCTAGACTCTCCAGGAAAAATTAAAGCCATGTTTCTATCTCTTACCTTATACATAAATAAATTTCTGATGGACCACTGATTTACTTTGTTTTTAATGAAACCCTAAGAGTACTTAAAGAAAATTCAAAAGACTGTTTCTTTTACCTTTGAGTAAAAGGATGAAATAAAATCCAGAAACAATAAAAGACAGTGTTGACATACTGAATATCATAAAATTTAAAATCATGCACAAGAAAGATTTGGAACCTATCAGTGATTTTTGTTAATATAAATCAGTAAAGAAAATATTAAAAACCAAGAGAAAAATAGACAAAGATATGGACACTACAAGGAAAGAAATATAAATGACTCTTGAGACTATGAGAAGATTCTCAGCTTTATTCATAAAGAGAGCACAAATTGAAGCATACAAATTTTAGTTTGTCAGGCAAAGCTTCAAGTTCGGAAGTACTCTGTAACATGAGATGCACTTGCACATAGATGATGGAGAAATTCGACACAGTCTCAAGAGGGACAATTTGACCACATCCCTAATAGAGTGAGAGTTGCCCAAACCTTTGCACTTACAAGCTCTACTTCTGTAATGTACTCCCCGAAGAAGAGCTTCTGTACCCTCAGAAGGTCAAGCAGCTTGAGCGCACTGCTACTGATCGCAGTGATATTTTCATTATATCATGACTACTATATGTCCGTAAAACAGATTACCAGCATCACTTCAAAAATGTCTAGCATGGCTAAGCACAAGGCTAAGCACAGTGCATGTAAGCTATGTGCATAAAAAGAAAGAAGAGCAAGAAGAAAAATGCCTATGTATGTCCTCATAAACAGGTTAACTCTCTCTGGAAGAACCCATAAAGAACTGAAATAGGTTTCTTCCAAGTGGCTAAAAGATGAGATGTCGGGGAGAGTTTGA